GTTCCGCACGCTGGCGCTGCGTCACCTGCGCGGCCGCGTCTTCCAGCTGCACGTGGCGCGCGAGTTTCCGTGCGCGCTGCCGCTCGGCGACTCCTGGCTGTCCCTCGAGGCCCAGCATGGGCAGCTGGTCAACTTCTATCCCTTGGACCGCCACGGGCTGTCCCCCGGCTTCGACGTGCCGGGCCTTAACACGTACCGGGTGCTGCGGCTGCCGCACAAGCCGGTATTCAAGACCCAGTGACCTTGGGCTCTCTTCTGAGTGCCCTCTTCTCTTGCTTCCCAGCTTTCCAACCTAATTTTGCAAGGTAAGGCTGCAGGGGTGTCTGTTAAAATACCTGAGAAGTTGGCAGAGTTGGGTAGGGCAATGCTACTCAAAGTGTGGTCCGTGGACCACAGCCGGCTGGCAAACTGTTATCCATGGGAGCGGAAGAGTTAAGTACAGAAATTTAGTGAGCATTTAGAAACTTTAATAGCAAATTGGCAGAGTACTTTTGTGTTTGTTGAATCTAAGACCAAAAAATAGTCTAGCATTGTGTCGTAAAAATCAACCTTACTGAGTTATAACTTACATAAAGTGAAATGCACACATTATTGGTTTGATGATTTTTGAGAAATATTTATACCCATCACCACAGTCAAGATATAGAAAATTTCCATCACCCTCTTAACGTCCTTCCTACTGCTTTGCAGTCAGTCCCCTCCCCTGCTCTCAGCCCCCGGCAACCACTATCTACTCTATCACTTTAGGTAAGTTTGGCCTGTCCTGCAATTTCATATAAATGGAATCAATCTTATGTGTCTGTCTTCTTTTGCTCAGCATGATGTTTCTGAGGTTCATTCATTCTGAGGTTCTAAAATCTTTGTGTAAAACAGTATTTTGTTCCTTTTTATTGCTGAATAGTATTTGGTTGTATGGATATGGCACAGTTTGTTTATCTATTTACCTGTTGATAGACATTTGGGTTGTTTACAGATTGGGGCTATTATGAAAAAGCATTCCTGTATAAGTCTTTCTTGTATGTGAATATATGCTTTCATTACTCGTGGGTAAATAGCTGTGTGTGACTGCCATGCAGTTTTCCAAAGCACTGGTACTATTTTATCTTCCCGCCAGCAATATCCAATAGTTCTGTTTCTCCACATCTTTGCTACTACTTAGCATTATTAGTCTTTTCAATTTTAGTCATGCTAGTGGTTGTGAAGTCCTGTCTCACTGTGGTTTTAATTGCATTGTATTTATCATATTGTAAAAGTTCTCTAACTGCTCTGAGTAGAAATCCTTCGTCAGATATAGGTGTTGCAAAGATTTCCCCCAGTCTTTGGTTTGCCTTTTCCTTTTCCTAATGGGCGTCTTTTGAAGAGTAGAAGTTTTTAAATTTTGATGAATTTTATGCCTGTTGAATCTAATACAAAATTTAGGCTTATATTTCGCACATCCTTTTAAAAATTAAATTTTGAGATAATTATAGATTCATATGCAGTTGTAAGAAATAACTAGTGTACCCTTTACCCAGTTTCCTCCAATGGAAACATCTTGCAAAACTATAGTACAGTATCACAATTAAGTTATTGACTTTGATACTGTCATGGTACAGAACATTTTCATCAGCACAAGAATCCCTCATTTTTGCATTTTTCTAGCCACATCCACGCATTTATCAACCCCACTCCCTCCTTAACCCCTGGCAACTACCAATCTGTTCTCCATTTTTGTGGTTTTGTCCTTTCAAGAATATTACATAAATGGAGAGATAGAAGAAATTTTCACATGTTGAGGTATGGGGCAGGCATTCTGGCTTATACATGACTTAGCTTGAACTTTATGCTAACTAGAACAGCCTGCCTTGGGACCTATCAAACCTGCATTGTTGCTTTTCTGTAACTGTTTAAGAAAAGTGTGTATTGTCCAGAAGTAAGGAATGTAGGTTTTGAAGACAGAGATAAATGCCTCCCTCCCTGAGATGTCAGTGCTACTACTCCTTTGATAAGTCTTCCTCCTTAGGCGCCAAGGCCATCCTGACTTGCTGTGTACCTGCTAATCTGTATTTTTTTTTGAAACTTTGATGGAACGTACCCCTGTCATGTTTGGTGTTATTTGTTCTGACAAGATACAAAACTGTGCTGAAAACCATGATTCTCTGGAGCAGTTCCTCAGAGCTACCTGAGAGGCTGTCTCCTGGGCTTTGGTCCTCAGTTTGGCTCAAATAAAACTCTCCTTTATTCTTATTACAGATTGGTTATTGATTATTTCTGTTGACAGGAGTCATACAGTATGGAATCTTCTGGGATTTCCCTCTCCCTCCACTCAGCATAAGTCTCTGGAGATTCATTGAACTGTTGCAAGTATCAACAGTTTGCGTCTTTTTGTTGCAGAGTAGTGGTCGCATGGTGTGGCTGTACCACAGTTTATTTAACCGTTCACTTGGTGAAGGACGTCTAGATTGTTTCCAATTTTAGGCTATTATGAATAAAGTTGATTTGAACATTTATTTACATGTATTTGTGTGAATGTAAGTTTTTACTTGTGTGGAAGAAATGCCGTGGAGGGCAACTGATGGCCGAATGGTATCTTTTTTTTTTTCAAAGAAACTACCAAACTGCTTTCCAGAGTCACTGTACCATTTTGTATTCCAGCCAGCAGTGTATGAGTGATCTAGTTTCTCAACATTTTTGCAAGTATTTGGTACTGTCACTGTTTTTATTTTTGTAACTCTAATTGCTAATGACTAATGACATTGAAAATCTTTTCATGTACTTTTTTGCCATTTGTATATCTTCTTCAGTGAAATGTCTCTTTACGTCTTTTGTCCATTTTCTAATTGGATTTAAAAAATTGTTGAGTTTTGAGAATTCTTTACATATTCTAGGTACCATTCCTTTGTCAGATACATAGTTTGTAAATAATTTCTGGTCTGTAGCTTGTCTTTCCATCATCTTAACAGGGCCTTTTTTTTATTTTTTTTAACATTTTTTATTGATTTATAATCATTTTACAATGTTGTGTCAAATTCCAGTGTTCAGCACAATTTTTCAGTCATTCATGGACATATACACACTCATTGTCACATTTTTTTCCTCTGTGAGTTATCATAACGTTTTGTGTATATTTCCCTGTGCTATACACTGTAATCTTGTTTATGTATTCTACAATTTTGTAGTCCCTTCCCACCCTCCACATCCCTGGCAACCACTAGTCTGTATTCTCTGTCTGTGAGTCTATTTCTGTCCTGTATTTACGCTTTGTTTTTGTTTGTTTGTTTGTTTTTGTTTTTGTTTTTTTGATTCCACATATGAGCGATCTCATATGGTATTTTTCTTTCTCTTTCTGGCTTACTTCACTTAGAATGACATTCTCCAGGAGCATCCATGTTGCTGCAAATGACATTATGTTGTCGGTTAACAGGGCCTTTCATGAAGCAAAATTTTTAAGTTTTGACCAAGTCAATTATGGTAGGCTGAATAACGGCCCCCCAGAGATGTACACATCCTAATCCTTGGAACCTATGAATGTTATGTCATATGACCAAAAGAGGATTTTCTGGACGTGATTAAGGTAAGGATCTTATTGATATTGGAGATATGGCAGACTCTCTTGGCTTACTGAGGTGGACCTTGAGTGAAATCACAAGTATTCTTATAAAAGAGAAGCAGAAGGAGATTTAACACAGATGGAAGAAGAAAAGGTAGTGTGACCAAGGAGGCAGAGATTGGAATGATGCAACCAAAAGGCAGGGGAGGCAAGGAATGAGAGCCATTGGAGAACACAGCCCTCTCAGCACCTTTATTTTGGCCCAGTGATACTGATTTCAGATTTCTGGCCTCCAGAACTGTGAGAGAGTACGTTTCTTTTGTTTTAAACTACCAATTTTGCAGTCATTTGTTACAACAGCTCAGGAAACTAATATACTAATTAATCCATTTTCCTTTTATGGGTCATGCTTTTGGTGTCAAGTCTCAGAACCCTTTGCCTAGCCCTAACTTGCAAAGGTTTTCTCCTGTGGTTTTTCTTAAAGGTTTTTTTTTTTTTTAAATCATTTTACGTTACATATTTAAGTTTGAGTTGATTTTTGTAAAAGGTGTGAGATTTAGGTTGAAGTTAATGTTTTGCCTGTGGATGTTCAGTTATTCCAGCTCTACTTGTTGAGAAGGCTGTCTTTCTTCCATTGGGTTGCTTTTGCCCCTTTGTCAAAAATCGGTAGGGCATATTTGTTGGGGGGTCTTATTTCTTGGTTCTCCATCCTCTTTCATTGGTCTGTGTGTCCTTCCACCAATACCGTGCCGTCTTGATTACTGTAGATAAAATGCAAGCCTTGAAATTGGGTAGACTGATTCCTCCCTTATTCTCCTTTTTCAAAATTGTTTTAGCTTTTCTTTGTCTTTTCGTATACATTTTACAATAATCTTGTCTGTATCTACAAAAAGTCTTGCTGGGATTTTGATAGGAATTTTATTAAATCTGAAGAGACTGGCAGCTTTACTATGTTGAGTCTTCCAATCTATGAATATAGTATATTTATTTACATCTTTTTTGCTTTCTTTTATCAACATTTTGTAATTTTCAGCATAGAAGTCTTATATATGTTTTGCTAGATTTAAACCTAAGTATTTCATTTTAGGGGGAGTATTTGTAAATGGTATTATAGTTTTAATCTAGTGGCCACATGTTTATAGGTGGTATATAGAAAAACAATTGGGTTTTTTTGTGTGTTAATCCTATGTTCTGTGACTGTACTGTACTCACCTATTCATTTGAGAAGGTTTTTGTTTTACCTTTTGTTTTTGTTTTTAGGTTCTTTGGGATTTTTTATGTAGACAATTATGTCATCTGCAAATATGGACAGTTTTTTTCTTCCTTTTTAATCTGTAAGCCTTTTACTTCACTTTCCTTCCTTATTTTTCTGACTAGTACTTCCAGTACTATGTTGAATAAGAGTGGTGAGAGTCGGTGTCCTTGCCTTGTTCCTGATCTTAGGAAGAAAGCATTCAGTCTTTGACCACGAAATAGCTGTAAATTAGCTGTAAGTTAGTTTTTTAACTTAAGTTTTTTTGCAGATGCGCCTTCTTAAGTTGAGGAAATTCTCCCCCTGTTCCTAGTTTTCTGAGAGTATTTTTAAAAATCATACAAAGGTTTGAGTCTTGTAAAATATTTTTTCTGCATAAATTGATATGACCATGTAATTTTTCTTCTTTAGCCTGTTAATCTGAAGATTACATTGATTGGTTTTTGAATAATGAGCCAGCCTCATATCCCTGAAATAAATAAACAAACTTGGTCATGGTGTATAATTCTTTTCATAAATTGCTGAATTTTATTTGCTAAATTTTGGTAAAGAGTTTTGCATCTATATTCATGAGAGATATTGGTCTATAGTTTCTTTTCTTTTCTTTTTTACTGTGTTTGTCTGGTTTTGGTCTCAGGGTAATACTAGCTTCATAAGATGAGTTGGGAAGTGTTTCATCCTCTTCTATCTCTTGAAAGAGATTGTAAGGAGAATTAAAACACTGAGTAGTGTTCTCCAGTGAAACTTTCTGGGCCTGGAGATTTCCTTCTTTGGGAATTACAAAAAATTATGAATTCCGTTTCCTCAATGGTTACAGGACTAGTCAAACAGTCTGTTTCATATGAGTGAGTTGTGGCAGTTTGTGCATTTTCAAGAACTGTTCCATTTTATCAAAGTTGTCAAATTGACTTGTAGAGTTGTTCATAGTATTCCCTTATTACCCTTTTGGCATCTGCAGGGTGTGTCATGATATCCCATTTCATTTCTGAGACTGCTAATATATGTCTTCTCTTTTTCTTTGTTCGTCTTGCTGGAGGTTTGTCAATTATTAATCATTTCAAAGAACTACTTTTTGTTTCATTGATTTTCTTTATTGCTTTTCTGTTTTCAGTTTCACTGATGTCTTCTGTTCTCCTATCATTTCTTTCCTCTGATTGCTTTGGGCTTACTATGCTCTTCTTTTTTCTAGAATTTTTTTTCCCCCTAAATTCTTAAGGTAGAGGCTTACTTTACGAGTATAAGACTTTCCCTCTTTTCTGATGTAAGTGCAATTAATTTTCCTCTCAGTACTGCTTCAGCTATGTCCCACAAATATTAATGTGTTGTATTTTTATTTTCATTAAGATCAGTGCATTTAAAAAATTGTTTTTGAGATTTCCTCTTTGACCACATGCGTTATTTAGAAGTGTGTTACTCAGTTTCCACGTGTTCAGAGCTTTCCCCATTAGCTTTATGCTGTTGATTTCTAATTTGATTCCACTGTGGTCAGAGAACACACTTTGTATGATTTCAATTTTTAAAAAATGTGTTGAGTGTTTTTGTGGTCTAGGATATAGTCTGTTTTGGTGGGCCTGCTTGACCAACAGAATATGATAGAGGTGATGAGATGCCAGTTTGTGGACCCAGGCCTTGAGACCCGGGCAGCTTTCACTTCTTCTCTTGGATATTTTCTTGGGGCCTTGAGCCTTTATAGTCTGCTTCTGCTGAGGCCCACTGTGCTGGAGGGGCTACATGTAGACACTTAAGGTTGACAGTCCCCGACAAGCCCAGCCTCCCAGCCATCCCTGCAAAGCTCCAAACATGTTGTGAGTGAAGCCATTTGGGTTTGCCAGACTGGCATGTCCCCCTGTTGTATACCCCTGAACATTCTGCTGGTTATTCCTGAACCTTTGGTAAAGTCTTATCAAAAATGACAGTCCAGTGTGTGGCCTGGGTTGTGGGGAATTCAGAATCTGCCTCCACTGGGGTGAAGAGACTCCTTGGGCCTGTTTAGGGGCAGGGTAGTATAGTGTTTAGGGTTTACAGTTCTAAAGCCCAGCTGCTGGGTTCACTCCTGGCTATACCACTTAATGGGTCTTACATAGATTAATTTATCTCTTGTGCCTCAGTTTTATCACCTATTAAATGGGAATAACACTAATACTGCTTCTTTTGTGGGACTGTGAGGATTAAATGAGGTCATGTATTTAAAGCATGTAGCATGCTTCTCCCCCACACTTTTTTTTTCTTTTGGGTAAGTGGTTGAATGAATAGATGGTTCAATGAATGGTTTTATGGATGGATGGATACATTAACAAATGAACAGGTAGATAGAAAGGTAGATAATAGATGAGAGGACAAAGGAATTAATGAATAAATTAATGGGTAAGTAAATTAAAGGATAGAGGGATGGATGGTTCAATGGAAAGTTCAACAGATGGATGGATGAATAGATGGATAGGTGTTTGCCAGACTCCAGGATAGACATTCTACGTATGTTATATTGTTTTAGCCACACAGAAATCCCATGAAGGAAGGGATATTTCCATTTTACAGACAAAGTGCTTGAGCTTCAGGAGTAGGAAGAATCACTTTCCCAAGATTATTCAACTAGCAAATGGTGGG